CACTTGGTGCATGACCGGAACACCAATGGTGGTGGTGCTGCGCTGCTAACTCTTCCTATCATGCACACCTGGAGCACCATACACCAGGTGTTGTGGTACCCTGGAGCACCATACACCAGGTGTTGTGGAAGCCTGGCGCTCCATACACCTAGGGTTGTGGAAGCCTGGCGCTCCATACACCTAGGGTTGTGGAAGCCTGGCGCTCCATACACCTAGGGTTGTGGAAGCCTGGCGCTCCATACACCTAGGGTTGTGGAAGCCTGGCGCTCCATACACCTAGGGTTGTGGAAGCCTGGCGCTCCATACACCTAGGGTTGTGGAAGCCTGGCGCTCCATACACCTAGGGTTGTGGAAGCCTGGCGCTCCATACACCTAGGGTTGTGGAAGCCTGGCGCTCCATACACCTAGTGTTGTGGAAGCCTGGCGCTCCATACACCTAGGGTTGTGGAAGCCTGGCGCTCCATACACCTAGGGTTGTGGAAGCCTGGTGCTCCATACACCTAGGGTTGTGGAAGCCTGGCGCTCCATACACCTAGGGTTGTGGAAGCCTGGCGCTCCATACACCTAGTGTTGTGGAAGCCTGGCGCTCCATACACCTAGGGTTGTGGAAGCCTGGCGCTCCATACACCTAGTGTTGTGGAAGCCTGGCGCTCCATACACCTAGGGTTGTGGAAGCCTGGCGCTCCATACACCTAGGGTTGTGGAAGCCTGGTGCTCCATACACCTAGGGTTGTGGAAGCCTGGCGCTCCATACACCTAGGGTTGTGGAAGCCTGGCGCTCCATACACCTAGTGTTGTGGAAGCCTGGCGCTCCATACACCTAGGGTTGTGGAAGCCGGGCGCTCCATACACCTAGGGTTGTGGAAGCCTGGTGCTCCATACACCTAGGGTTGTGGAAGCCTGGCGCTCCATACACCTAGTGTTGTGGAAGCCTGGTGCACCATACACCTAAACATTAAACTTAATAAAAAAATTATTCACTATGACTGGTTCTTAGATAATTATCAATAAAACCACAGGCTTGCCTCCCTATTGTCAAAGTCACAGAATATTGGAACCGAGAGAGACGCGTCTCCCGAGGCAGCCAGCCAGTCACTGCCATTGTCACCAATGTAAACATAGATTCACAATAAATCCCATGAGGTTTAGCAAAACCCGGCACTGCGAAGGTCTGAAAATAGACCGCCCGATAGTGATCCAGCCACAGCAACCTCTACAGCAATAATGGGAAGAGCTGCGTATCCATCTTACCAAATATCTGTTGTTACTTAGTGGCCATTAACTATTAAGATAGGTTAGGCGGTTATGCAGTGGGCCATCATCCCAAACCAAGTAAGCTTAGTGTCTTTACTCATCATTAATCTTCATTTCACATGTCACATCTGTACTTTATGCTTTGTGCATTTTTTATAGCCCATTCATTTGACGGGCAAGGTTGTGATCCAGGAGATAACAGTTGAGCTGGGCCCCTACATAACCTGTGATGCTTCCAAGCACTGGCTGCCCCACACACGCCAGATGAGGACCAGCCGCCATTATACAGTGCCAGACGCCACTACATGGCACACCCTGGACCACATGTGCCACACACCCTAATTTAATGTTTAAGGACCAGTTCTCACACTACAATCACAGCTGAGGTTCTCCTTAAGTCATACTAATATAATTATAACACTGTAGTACTAAGAAATACTGTAGTTTGTTGTTGGCCATCATATGTGCTATAATTTATGTGAAATTAACAGTAAATGTATGTGGCATATTTACCACAACCAATAGTGGGATAAGCTGTGTACATTCACCATCCCCCTCCCCCCCACCCACTGTGTGTTCCTATCTTGAGATGATTTCGGGGCTTAGCGTTCCCGCGGCCCGGTCCTCGACCAGGCCTCCTTTTTGTTACACACCCCCAGGAAGCAGCCCGTAGCAGCTGTCTAACTCCCTGATACGTATTTACTACTAGGTAACAGGAGCATCAGGGTGAAAGAAACTATGTCCATTAGTTTCCGCCTCCCCCGGGTTGGGATGGGATGTAATGGAAGTTACAAAATGCTCTGGAACTTACCTGTTGCCGACTGAGAATATGGTAACTAGTTTGGTCCTAATAATCCCAGCAGCTGGTTGTTGTAAGAAAGTAGAGGGTGAGGCTTCAGGCATCAAGGGGGTGAGGCTCCACACAAAGGGTGAGGCTTCAGGCATCAAGGGGGTGAGGCTCCACACAAAGGGTGAGGCTTCACACAAAGGGTGAGGCTCTAGGCATTAACACCACTCACCTACACATACTAAGCATCCTTAGTGGCTTCTTAACTTGTTTTGACCACTGACAATCTCATATTTTGTATTCTTTGTGATACTGAAAATTGTTTGCAGCTTACCGAGTTAATTAACGCACTGGCTAGCCATTGGCTCTCCTTGTTATTTTTTCTAGAAGCGGTGTACACACGCGCCTGGAGGCTGTTTTATACTTTTTACTGGAAAATTGCCTTGCCTACGAGCACAAGCAATGGCAATAGGCATTTTATTTGAAGCGCAGCCACGGTGCCCGTGTCAGCACTGCGTGACAGTACCAGTGTGTCTCCGGGATGGTCACTGCTACACCAGACCAGTCACATTACTGCATGTCCTGGATAGTAGGCACAGTCCGCGGCGGCTGTCTCTGGAGTTAAGGAGCTGGTGAGCCTCTGTGCTGTCCATACCATCCCAGGGCTCACAGTATTAATCTTAGATGCCACTCTCAGGAGAAACTTATCACAAATGTCCAGGATTTCCGGGCACCACACTAGACCAGGGTCTCAGCAACACACACGAGCGGACAGTCGGGGTCTCAGCGACGATATTATGTTTCCTTACCTCCCTCCCTCAACATGCCCGCCACCTCCCTCACCTGGCCACACCTCTTGGCATTTATATTCAAATCAGATATTGGCTAACTCACTTCATCAGAGATGGTCACCCAATGCACGTTCAGGGTGTTAGGTACACACACTACGGAGGTTCAGAGGGATGTGAGGACACCCTACGGAGGTTCAGAGGGATGTGAGGACACCCTCCGGAGGTTCAGAGGGATGTGAGGACACCCTACGGAGGTTCAGAGGGATGTGAGGACACCCCACGGAGGTTCAGGGCGTGAGGACACACAGTGGAGACTGAGGCAGGGATGTAGGGGCGGGCACCACTAGGCATCACCATCGCTGACAAAACCGCCGGTAATCAACCCGGCCCCGTAAACACGCCGCGGCCCTCCCCTGGCACCCCGGCCCTCGACCCTATGGCAGCAGCACTTTAAGGCCAAAATATCTATCCTTAACTATCTATGACAATGCAGGTGTGCGGGCGAAAAGGGCAGGGTCCTTGTCACCGCAGTTCCGGTACAGTGTAGGACAGTGTACCTTCCGCCCATGCTGATCCCCTCCCATGGCAACCTCCACCCATGCTGATCCCCTCCCATGGCAACCTCCACCCATGCTGATCCCCTCCCATGGCAACCTCCACCCATGCTGATCCCCTCCCATGGCAACCTCCACCCATGCTGATCCCCTCCCATGGCAACCGCCGCCCATGCTGATCCCCTCCCATGGCAACCTCCGCCCATGCTGATCCCCTCCCATGGCAACCTCCACCCATGCTGATCCCCTCCCATGGCAATCTCCACCCATGCTGATCCCCTCCCATGGCAACCTCCACCCATGCTGATCCCCTCCCATGGCAACCGCCGCCCATGCTGATCCCCTCCCATGGCAACCTCCGCCCATGCTGATCCCCTCCCATGGCAACCTCCACCCATGCTGATCCCCTCCCATGGCAACCGCCGCCCATGCTGATCCCCTCCCATGGCAACCGCCGCCCATGCTGATCCCCTCCCATGGCAACCTCCGCCCATGCTGATCCCCTCCCATGGCAACCGCCGCCCATGCTGATCCCCTCCCATGGCAACCGCCGCCCATGCTGATCCCCTCCCATGGCAACCTCCGCCCATGCTGATCCCCTCCCATGGCAACCTCCGCCCATGCTGATCCCCTCCCATGGCAACCTCCGCCCATGCTGATCCCCTCCCATGGCAACTTCCGCCCATGCTGATCCCCTCCCATGGCAACCTCCGCCCATGCTGATCCCCTCCCATGGCAACCTCCGCCCATGCTGATCCCCTCCCATGGCAACCTCCGCCCATGCTGATCCCCTCCTAAGGAAACCGCCGCCCATGCTGATCCCCTCCCATAGTAACCTCCACCCATGGTGACACCCGCCCAAATTGTGTACGAGATGAGCTCATAATATTTATTTCAAACAAGACTACACACCACCCGCAACTTCCGGTGATGCCAGCTACATGTTCACTTTTATACACAGTAAAGTGTAGCACTGAAGGTATGCTAACAATTTAATACAATCTCGTGTAATCAGCCATTCATTCTCAAAATCATTTTTCGTATTTTGCATTTCGTAATTTTCATTCACAAGATAATTACTCCTTTTTGCATGACACGGTGTTCAAAATTACGCTGCTGGTTAAAAGGAAGCAGTAATTTGGTAGTTACAGGTTGGCATCTTACTCTTGAGGGAGCTGTAGTCTGCCAGTGTGGGTCGACATTTTGTGACCTTAACAAAATAGATCAGCCACATGTCTATTACTCTTGACCTCCTCTGGCGCTTACAGAGGAGCCGGTCGGCCGAGCGGACAGCACACTGCACTTGTGATCCTGTGGTCCCGGGTTCGATCCCGGGCGCCGGCGAGAAACAATGGCCAGAGTTTCTTTCACCCTATGCCCCTGTTACCTAGCAGTAAAATAGGTACCTGGGTGTTAGTCAGCTGTCACGGGCTGCTTCCTGGGGGTGGAGGCCTGGTCGAGGACCGGGCCGCGGGGGGACACAAAAAAAAAAAGCTCCGAAATCATCATCATCTCAAGATACAGTCATGATTAATATTATTTTTCGTGTTGATGGGAATGGCATGTCAAAGTTGGCCAGAGCCAGTAGCTAAGTGATCACATGTTCCAGCATGA